CAATCAACGAAAAATATCGCGTCCTATCGATTGGCGGGAGGCGGGGTGAGTACGGTAATTGCAGTGACGTTTGCTGCATGCCGCAAGGGAGAATGCCGCGATAGGGGGAAAGTTCCGTTACCCCTGATTCCTCACGACTTGTTAAAGACGGAAGTATTACCGTAGTGGCTCCTGCAGAAGCATAGCAGTTGCTCAGAACATGGTGTACCTTGCGAGGAATGCGAGTCAGCACTTGAGAAACAAAAAAATGTTATATTAGGTTTTCCCGAATGCCAGCCCATGGGTCCTTGGTAGTTACCGTGGTTGTAGAAAAAAGCTAAAGATTTTAAACAGTTGTATCGATCAATACTTTATCCTCATCACAATTATACTGCACAAAACTACCTTCATGAACGAACATTCCACTGCCTCCAAATGATATTGAATTTCTAATATAAAAAGAAAAAGCTTCTATACATTGAACTCTAACCACTAGTCTATGGCACAAAAATCATTTCATAGTTGAAAGCTCTCTGATTGCCGAAACAACCTTCTCTTTAGGCAGGTCCTCGAGAACAACACAACGCTCAACTCCATGCTCATATCTGAAATATGCCAGATAATGAGAACTAGTAATAGTATAGCTGGTATTACCCAAGTAATAACTAAGAAAGTAGATAAGTTGCATCATCGTCAGAAGGGACGGCTTAGTCCGACATTATCAGGGAAGGACCACACACAGGGATATCTCGTTATCGATCGAAAGAGCCTCAAACCAGCACAAGGGTGAGTGAACAACATGAAACAGGAACTCCTAGATGTCATAGGCGATAACCAGGAAAAGGCATAGATCGAGACAACTAACAAAGATGATCATATAAGAGATGTTCCGCGGCTCGAGACATTTAGCTAGGGACCGTCGTGCGAACGACCAGATCGGAACTGTCTCTGTAGTCCCAAGGTCCAGCTGGCTCAAGCAATCAGCAACGCAACAGGAATCGAAGTTTCAATGAGTAGAATTACCTGATAAACAAGTAAGCAGGGAAAGATATACTGGAGTAAGACTACGAAAAATAGGGCCACAATCCATTTGCAGGAGACTAGCAGAGGTCAGACTCAAGTGCAAAGTATGAATATCGATCGAAACAACAAGCAAAGCCTTGAGTTGTACATATGACAATGGGCGTTCGGTTGTTCTTTTTATGAGTAAGAATACAAAATAGTCTCTATCCCAAATGTTGCAAAAGAAAGAATTAAACTAACAAATAAAGAAAACACCAAACGCCTTCAAAATAAAAAAGCGAATTAGTGAAAAAGGCCAATTGAGTGTTTATATAGGCTCGAATGTATTCTACGTACTCAAAAATCAAATTAAAAGGTAAAAAATTATAAATGCAATAAAGTTATTTGAATACCTCGCAAAAACACGGGGAACAATTCCGGAACATTCCCGAATGAGGATCGGGAACTGTGGATTCGCCTTCTTCAAGCTAACATAGTCATTTTCGATGAAAGCACGTACACCAGCTGAAATATCTTGGAATACGTAAGTTGAATTGCATTTTTAATTCCACATATAATAGCCAAGGTTTTTTGATTATTAAAAAAAGCAGGGGGGGGGGGGTGAGGTCGTGCAAGTAGGGCATTACACTACAGTAAGGGAACAAATTCAAGATCGATAATCGTCCACATGTGCACGCCAACCACACACTCCGTACCTAACAGGTATCTTGATGGATACCAGACTCAATGATAGACGATAACAATGCTAAATTGTTAAGGGGTGATCCACCAAAAGTCACTGGGCAAGCAAAGAAAGCATTCAACGAAAACTACAACCGTGAATGGAATAGGATGCATGGCGCACCCTAAAGCGAGATTACACAATGCCCAAAAAAGGTTATTTTTAATCATTTCTTGAAAAAGAATTTTGAGTCTCTACTGAAGGCTCAGATTTCAGCAAACGTTGGCTTCAATCCCATCTCCTCAAGTTATTTTTCAGAAGGCCCGAAATTATCCCCGAAAAAGCTACTAATTCTCATAGTTTGAAGGGATATGATGGCCGACAGGGGCAATTATCCTCTGAGATTTTCCTTTATAGACTAGGATAACTCGTTCTGAACTCTAGTAATCACGAAAACTTTGAAAAAGTCCGATCAGAAAGAAGATCTGTGACTGTCAACTTACCTGAAGCAGAACTCTTCTGACAAAGATGAATGCGTAGTTCACGAAGATGGGACCCTGCGAGGCGTATAGCGGACGCCATCCTAGAATAACCCTAGGTTTTTAGAGGAAGGCTTTGTGGGTTAATGGGAAAAAGCAATAAGCAAGAGCCATGATCTTTCCGCTTTAGAGGTAGGTTACCTATTACTGCTACCACACACAACATCGGGTCTTACTTACTGCCCCATACCATTACAGCCAACTTCTTACAGAACTGACTGTACTGTAACGTTTTCGAGTAAGCCAAATAACAAAGCTAAAATGAGTAACAAAAAGGCTCAAGGAAGCAAAAGCAGGAACCGTCAAAATAAAGGGCGTCAAATGTGGCGCACTTGTTCATCGTGGAGCGCGCTATGTGCGCCGTATTGATTTAAGAAATCTGATTTGTTTACCGTCAAATTACTAAATAAACAAATCTTTGTCATTTCAAAAAGCTTGACCCATGTCTATTTTCATGCATATTGTTGATATAATGTTAATTCTTCTAATATTTATTTGATGTAATTCTANAATGATTTTTATTTTCATCAATGTTCCCAGCGTTTAGCGTCCAACAAACGATTGATATTTCAGAGGAAACTTTTGGGTTGTCTATGATATGCTGAATAGCTTGTTTATAGTCAACACATCTGGGTTAGTCCGTAAAACTAGTTTTTTGTTTTGTTTTGTCCCCATGTGTACCTGATAATGGATATTATGGCCTCATTTCAGTGATGTGATCCTCGAAAAGCATTGGAAGGCTGTTATTCATCGATCAATATGCGACTACTTTTTCGACGCTCAGAAAAAGGTACCTAAGTACTTCTTTTTATTCTTTCCTACATTAATAAACCTGCTCGTTAAATTCCGAATTTCGTGTTGTCTTTGACTTTTTTACGAAAAACTCCATTGATTAGGTACAGGAGCATCTGATGCCGTCCTCCAAAAGCCAAGGTTTTTTACGTGGAGGAGTTTTATAAAGGTTCAGTCAGTGTTCTTTCTTCTCAGACAAATCTGGTGCTATTTACTCGACTCTGAGGGATGAAAGGATTGGTTTTTTCGAGTAGGCTACTTTGCTGCTCAAGTTTACGCTTTCGCAGTGCTTGTAAACTAAATTGTAGCAATATAGAGTTGTTCAGATTTGTAGTATTTGAAATGGGAGTTATAAGAGTGAGTACAAAGTGGGCGTGTGGTAAACTTCTAATGGTGCGCAGCAATTATTGGAAAAAGCGTAGCCAATCACAGATTGGCCGCTTCATTTTTCGCGCCATCGATCATTGTGCTGTTTTGGTCATTGATTTGAATATCTGGCAAAGCGGAGACGGTGTAGTGGCAATAGGCGCACTATCACACACGCATGGTCCACTGGATCGAATCTGAGGTCGTATTCACCCTGACCATCCGAGCTCTCCATTCCTCTGGGGTCGGCTAATCGGAACCATATTCACGTGGGAGAATAAAAGCGTTGAAAAGTACTTGGGTAGCTACCGCAAATCATTGTATAGGCCACAGACGCATTCAAACGGCCACAACGATTCTGAATGGGAGTCGAATGTTAGGCGCAACCCAAAACAGGATCGACATCGATTAAGGTCAAAGATTTCATCGTTCTATCCTTTATTCATGGGAAAACGAGGGTGAACTCGTGTCATGCCTTAGAATTGTAAGCTTTTTGACTTTGATCTTCCCAGCTTTTCCGGGTTTAGGTGCTAGTTATTTTTACAAGTTTATCTACATGCTGAATATAGCAGGTTTTATTTCAGGCTGCATCTCCCGAAGACGTGTTGCCAGTGCTGTCCACTCCTCATCATTATCTTGTCAATGTATACCATAATCAAATATATTTTCTAGCAGTGACAACAACTGAAAGTACGTTGATTTTTAAAACTCGATCGGCAGGGTTCGTGAGTACTGTATGATTTTATAAAACTTTTTAAAACCATACAATGGTCACGCTCAGCATTTCTTTGAAGTTGTTTATTCGGTACCTCTGGAACATCCACTATTCTTTTTCTTCTAATACTGATTTATCTGTACATGAGGAAATTGCAGTTCCTCCCCTAATGGTTATTGAATTCCTTCATCGAGTTGTGCACACATTTACGCAATATTTCGATGAATGCTCGGACACTTCGATAAAGGAGAACTGTGTAATGATATTTGAGGTAAGTCTTTCAAAATTCTCTATTTTATTCCTCAACCTGACTTCCACCATTCACTTTCAGCTACTTGATGAAATGCTCGATAATGGATATCCTCTGGTTACGGAATTAAATATTCTCCAAGATCTCATCAAGCCACCCAACTTTCTTAGAAACATTGCCAATCAGGTAAGGCGCTGGACACGCGCAGAATTTCAATGTGCACCCAAACTCTTACCGTAACTGCTCACTGGTATTGGTCGTTAAATGTCGTGAAATAGCACGTATCTGTTGCGTATTTCGAGCACCAATTACGAATTTCATTTCAAAATAGTTTATTTTTTTGTAGTTAGTAGCGTAATATTCTATAAGGACGGATGTTGATTAGTACAGGTTACTGGTCGAACTAATCATTCCGAAACACTCCCGACTGGTCAGTTATCTAATATACCATGGAGACGACAAGGTGTGAAGTATACGAATAATGAAGCCTATTTTGATGTGATAGAGGAGATCGATGCGATCATCGACCGTCAAGGATCTACGGTTTTCGCAGAAATACAGGGATACGTGAGTTGCAGGCATTTGACCATTTTTTCGTACGAACAGGGAACGCTCTGAATCTTTCCTTTTTCCAAATCATTGAACCAGATGCTTTTCGATTTAAGATCGATGTATGTTGTAAACTGTCGGGCATGCCAGATCTCACCATGACCCTCGTCAATCCACGGCTTCTTGATGATGTCTCATTTCATCCATGCGTACGATTCAAACGATGGGAGGTTCGTGTTTTTCGTACGCACTCATGCTCGTGTTTTTGATGTCCAATTGATCTTTCTCCAGAATGAACGTGTTCTGTCATTTGTGCCTCCTGATGGAAACTTTCGACTGTTATCATATCACATTGCTACTCAAAAGTTGGTTTCTATAAGTTATAGTAGCTATTCAGTAAAGTAATTAGTGCTTATTCAGTATGGTTGCCATTCCTATTTATGTTCGACATTCAATAGTGCTAAGAGGTGGAGCTGGAAGCCGACTGGAGATGACGGTCGGGCCAAAACAAAGCATGGGTAAAATTGTGAGTTTTCTTTCAAAAAGGACTTCTTTTCTGTCGCCGGGTTTGTTGGTGTAGTTGGGACCTCAGGTTGTCGTGTTGAGACCCTCCAATTTGTCTGGGGAATGCTGGGTCCTGACGCGAGTGGCCGGGGTCGCGGCGCACGCGGCCACTCAGTTCCCACAGTATGGGTACCGTGGCGCATCCAANGAGATGTCAATGCCGAAAGCGGTGCTAAACTGCAACCTAGTGCCTTCACAAGGGAAGTGTACATTTGATCCCTCCTCACATTTGTTGCAGTGGACAATAGGCAAGATAGAACTCGGAAAACCACCAAACATCAAGGGAACTGTGAGTTATTGAGCCGCATTGAGTTAGTGAATAGTACTAGTCGCAGTAACTAACATAGTAGGTTCAGGTATCTGTTTCTGGAACGACTACTATTGAGACTCCACCGATTTCTATACGTTTTCGGATCAATCAGCTAGCTGTATCAGGGCTCAAAGTGAATCGATTAGATATGTATGGCGAAAAGTATAAACCTTTCAAAGGTGTAAAATACATAACGAAAGCTGGAAAATTCCAAGTACGGACGTGATCACAACGGCGGTTGTCATCGGATGTTTGGCCAGGACCGGTTGCAAAACAATTTTCAATACTGTAGATATATGCGTACTAGTTGCATAACTATCGATCGATCTAAGTAGAATGTGATACTACCGTTAATGCAATCATTGAATTCGGTTTAAATGTTTGATCATTCTACTTCACTTTTTCCCAGTTTATCATCATTTTTCGAGTTAAAAGTTCTCTCTGATTATCCGATTGAGCACTTCACCTATCTCTTTCTTTTCGCATTTTCTTGGGTCATTATACCATAATTTATTGTGATGCATATGAAACATTCTATGAAGGCTTTCAAGTTCATTTTTAAAGGTTGCAATCCATTTTTATCTTTTTTTGTGTACCTACCGTATCGTCTAGCCTAATCACCACAGAATGTTGAATGCTGGCCAATTAGCCGCACGGCGTTTTTTTCAAACCACGTCATCGGCAAGTGCACAAAAGAATTTCCGTGATGTGCGGCCACCGGAGGAGGTGAGTACTGTTGGCTATCTAGCTTTAGAGTAATGTTATTGTAAGTGGTTCTTCATTGTTGTTGAAGGTTGGCTGGGCGTTCAATCATATTGAGAAAAAGAGGGGTCTCTACAAACCGAAGCATACCGTCGAAGAACAGATAGAGTATATGAAAAGTAAAGGTTGGTTAGACATCTTCGTTTCGTTTCATACTGCTGATGTACTCTTTTATTTTCTGTACTACTTCCTGTTGTACTTGTTAATTTGCAAATATACTGTTTTTTAGCTTATCAAGATGCCTATAAAGGACTGCCGATCTATAGGTGGTATAAAAGGAATTTTAAGGTAAGTGATTTATGTTTTTCACGATTACATATGTTATTCTAACAAGTTCATATGTACTATGCTGTAAACGCAGTCATTGACGTTTTTCACTGTTGTCGGCCATGTTTTAAGTTGTGCCAAAGGTATCTGCCCAATATTTCGCAACACCGCAGATTTTTCCCCGGAATTTTCTGGAAGCTTCTTGTGGTTTCTATGAAAGGACACTACCCACGCACGCATAGACCCAGAATATATCCGCCTTTCTCCTAATTGCGTATTTAATCATGTACTGAATGTACTACCTGTCCATATTCGATGTATGTTGCATTCGGCCACTCCAATGTTGAAGCCTCTTGAGACTCCTCTAGCATTTGTCCTTGAAGCCTCTTCTAAGCGGTTCTGTAACCAACTCGTTCTGACGCTCCACAGACTGGAACAGAAGTCGAAGTTGAAGCTTGATCTGGCCAGCTGATTGCGATATAATGAAATCTCCCGATATGTTATGCGCATATAAGTGAGTACTGTCCTTCTGCAGTGATTTTGTGTAAGCTGCCAGAAAATCCCAGGGAAAATCTGGGTTATTGTGAAGTCTTCAGCAGATATTTTCCGTACATGAGTACTATGCGACAATGTGCCCTTTCCTGCCCTTTCCTGCTGAAACGATGAAAGAATCGTGTAAGCAGCATGTGGTAGTAAGCGGTCTGGGCTCGATCAGATGAGCTCCGCTCCCTTAATGCTCCTTTAGCTGTTTTTTTCAGCTGTTATCCTCTAATTCAGAGATAAAACGTGAATTTCTTTGATGTGATTCACTATTATAGGGGCAGTCGACTTTGCAACCACCTCCTCGACTTTTCTGCATCGACAAACATGGACGGTTTAATGTAAATAATGCGTGTCCGGTCAGTTTTTTTCGTGTCCTTTTGCTTTCCATTGGTTCGAGTTTGATCAGCCTTTTCCGATTCTCCTGATTCCTTGGGAACGGGCTTAGTTCCCCAATATACTGCTTTAGGCTTTTGTTCAGCATGTAGGGATGATTCCCGTACGATATCTACTGGGCAAATATAAAAGATAAATGACCCTATAGTGAACTGGGGAAGTCCTTTGAGAGATAATCGCAATCAATCCTTGTACTACACTTAATATTTTAACGTAAATTAGTGATTTTTTACAACATGCTGTTATTCAACTTCGATTTTGAACGATCCATTTCATGTGAAGCAGGTGGAGGGGAGTGTTGGGTGTGGGTAGGGAGGGTCGATATTTCGTAGCACCGTGCATGTATGTGTATTGTTGTATGGCATCTATTGTATTCGACACCAATATATTTGTCGCAGGTATGTCGCGATGAATATTTGTTTTTCGACTTTCGGAATCCAGCTTTGATAGAGCAATTCCTTTCTCATGGTACTCATCAACCGATTGGGATTTTGAATAGTGGCCTTTGCCGAGAACAATATGCTATGCTTAAAGCTCAGTTACTTGCTGCCAAAGAACACGGTTCGTTGTTTTGACAACTTTTTCCATTTTTTCATTACATTACATTCAAAATGTTTACCAGTAATGCTCATAAACTCATTTATATCGCCTAACAGGAACAATCACATTTGGTATCGATTATCGAAATTTCGACTTCCGAGATTGGTATAAGGACTGGACAACACCGCCATTGCCTCATGTAAGTCCACTTATTTGAACCACGTAATTTTTAGCTTGCCTCTCCTTGTTTACAAGTTCGTGTTTGTCCTTGTATTTTTTGTTCCATTCTTATGTTCAAAAGGTTCCATCTGTATCTTTGGCAGTTCCTACAAAAATTTGTCCTAAAATGAGGGGGTGGGTTCTCATACCCGAGCGGTGCGCCGCGCTCGCCGCATCCGATCGCGGGCAATCGCGAGAGGAGTATTTTATTTCTGAAAACATGCGCGAAACTAATGCCACTTGCTATGAGAATTCGGCTGGAATACCACCAGCCCGAAATTAGAACCACTGACAGCTTTACCTTTTTTCCTTTGTTTTTTTTTTCATGTTGTGCTTATGTTTTTTAAACATTGCAGGTGGAACGTGCTGGAATTCGTCTACAGGATATCCATCCAGATCCATTAGTCTCATTTCCTGTGTTCAAGCGAGATTTCAATAATGACTGGGATCAATGGTGGCTTCGATATGACAAATTTGCTCGTAAAGGAAAGTGATCTCATGAGGTGTTCAACTTAGTTGATTATGGTTTACCGTTCCCACAGGTATTCCGTCCCCCTCTCTCAGGTTTAGTCCATGTTCAATAGGTTAAGGAAAAGTTGTTATTGTTTGGCGAATTTTTGTTATTTTTTCCGAAAAAAATAAATTTTATCAGTAAGCTCTCTGTTCGAGTAGCAGTTCGTCTGTCTTCTATCTTTGCTTTACAACAGCCCTTGTTAGATATAAAATTGCTTGTAATTTCATCTAGATGATATGGCTGCGACTAAGTATTTTCCTACTTCTGATCACGTTATCCGAACAAAAAGGAAAATCCGATCGATTGGCAAAACAGGTGAATAAAATTGTTTGGCTTGGTTCCAATTATCGCAAAGCATGACGTATCCTATGTTTCATTTGGTTTAAGGAGAAAAAGCTCGCTGAAGCAGAGAAGGTCGCTTCTAAAAAAGACGAAGAAGAGGTATGGTTCCCTTGAGGAGCTATAATTTTTCTGTCTTGCAGTATTTCCGAGCTCTTTCCGACTTCCGGTCTACTTATGCTTTCCTTGTTTAATCTTTCTTTGTCCATTCGTTTTACGATTTTGTTTGTTGAGCTTAAATCGGATAGTTTCTGTCAGAGTTTCAGTCAGTGTTCTATTTTTTTGGTAGATTGATTTCTCGCGCCTTTTCATTTTCGACTTATTTTATGTTATTTTTGAGTTCCAACGGTAATTTTAGCAATACTGTCCTTAAGTTCATGGGTAAAAATGTTTGTTTTCTTTTACTTTGCCTAGCTTATTGTTTTCTTATGTTTTGTCTAAGTTTGATAGTTTAGGTGTATCCCATTTACCTATTATTTCACCCCTAGGAAAATAAGCTACCCTTGTCGCATCCGCCGTCAAGCATCTCAAAGCAGTCTATCCTGAAGGACCATGAATCTGTCGATTATTCGCCTCGAAAATTCACAAATCCACTCCTCGTCTATGTGACACCGGTTCGTTTTCCTTTTTCTTTTCATGGAGTTTACACTGAGTGGTTGCAAATTCAGTGGAATAACAAGGGCTACGACTTAGCCAAGTGGGTTTCACACAAGGTCACGCATGTCTCACCAGTCTGGCTCCAGGTTCGTCATCTTTCTTGTAGATGTAGGTGTTTATAGAAAACAAATTTGGTCCAAAACCGTGGCTTGCAGCAGCATTTTGAATATAATTGAACAAAAAACCATTTGCAGCGATTTATTACCCTTTTTTATAATTTATATGATATCACTATTCCTTTTCGTTAGTATTCTTTTTTGAAATCTCTTATCGAATTGAATATATATCTAATGTGGGATCTCATGGGTGCGGATAGTTTTACATGGGTCTAATTAGTTAATTTTGCCCCTTTGGGTCCTTGCTGTTTCAAGCTCCGTACAGAATGCCAAGGCGTGGGCCTGACCTTCCGCGACGCAACCGCTCGCGAAAAATCAGGCTCCACACCTTGGCTACACTATCGCGGAGAACATAAAAAATAATTTGATTTATGACAGTTCTTCTAGAGGGACAGTAAAGTATTCATCAGAAGCCGCTTGTTCTTTCAGTTCAAACCACAAACTGCCGACATGAGTCTCAGTTGCCTCATCCTTGGTACTCACGACATCGATCATGGTAAAAATTTCGAACATTATGTAGCTTTACATTTTATGGTAGGTAATGTCTGCTTTTTTCCCACGTCTCCTCATGAGCATAACACTCAGTGTATGTTTTTTTATGGTCTATGGCACGGTTTAATTAGAAGGTTTAAGGACCGGCGGGTAAAGCTGACTCAGGTTAAGGTNGTGAATAGTTTTCTCTTCAACAATGCCGTTGATATAGGACTTCTTTAGCCTTGCCTCCTTTACCGTAGCCAGTGAGCACAAACTGTAATATCGATCAGTTAGAAAGTGAAACGAATTTATGCGATTCAGAGTGGATGGATGAGGTCAGAAAAAACAATAGCGAAGTGTTGATAGTACCACGTGTGTTGTTTGACGAATGGTCCGCTGAAGATACGAGCAACTTCCTTCAAAATGAACGATGGATGAATCGTTGCTTGGGAGATTTGAAGAATCTGCTTATAGTAAGTGCGAATACCCTTGATTCCAATGATTTCGGTCAGATATGGAAAACTACTTCCAGCGAACCCAATTCGATGGTGCAGTGATTGAGCTGTGGGCAAGTGCCATGTTACAATCAAGAGGTGAAGCAAGCGAGTGAGTTGAAACGGGAACAGTCTGGATAGGTGGAAATGTTAGGTCGTGCTTGAAATATTTGCCGAAAATTCAGCGATAGTTCACATTTTTCTGCAGTGTTCGGGACGTTTCCATGTACCTATTATACGGGGTCAGTACCCATTTGGGTGAGGGAAGCACATCCGGTTAGCTCTTTATTGCTTATTCAACCCAACATTCTATCCAAGCTCTACACGTACTTCTTTTCAAGTTCAAATCCGGCCAGATGCTGAATCCCGCTGTAATTTGTGTCAAGCCTTAGACTTGACGCCCTTTGTGAGCGATTAACACGCACCGTTCCATTTGAAACAAAAAGGTCGAAGATGGATCCCATCTGGTCGACTGATTGTAGTGTCATGAAATGTGATATATTACGCGCATGCCAAAGGGTAAGGCCATGTCATCTGTTTGTCATGGAAACTTCCAGAAAATTCCCTAAAAAAACTTGGACTATTGTGAAATTCTTGGCAGAGATAGCTGAACAACTTAATAAATAGAGGTCTGGAGACACAGTGAATGTTTATCAGATCAATACAGTCATGGAAACCAGTAAAAATTATGAGGATACCCAAGAGAAGTAAGCTCAGTGATTTTAGATTGCTCATGGAAATGCTATCAGCATGGGGAGACTCTTTCCACGAAAGTCATCTTCAACTCATCGTTCCTGTCGGGCCGCCCTTGGGCCCAACAAAGTTTGTTTTTTCTATATACATTTAAAAAAATAGTTTTGACTGCGTTATTTCAGCAAAATGACCGGATTGTTTACACCTGCGCATTTATACACGTTAGCCGGAAAAGTCGACTATTTACAGGTATAACTTAGTCATATGGTATTCAAAAGGGACCAGTAGGTTCGCTGTTCGCACCGTTTGAGTTGAAAGACAAGTACTCGGGCTATTTTTCTATATTAGGTCGCCTTTACAGTGCCCTCCAATTGATTCCTATCGTTAATTCGCTCACTGAGTCCAACTCTCCGATACAGGGTCAGCCACCACAGCTTTATGCTTTCAGTCACTTTTGTAGCTTAAAGTTACAACTAATTACCTGTACTACTCTAGTAATCTTGATGGACCGAAAAGCAATCCTTATTACATGCTTCAGTTCTGGTGTGTAAGATAATGCGTACAGAAGTTTTTTTTTGATGTTTTGCGTTGGCTTCTTGTACCGTATTGCCTAGGGTTACGGTAGGTGGCAAGATGTTGCTATTGTTGGAATAGGATGGAGTGTCCTCTATGGTCTTTTGAGCTCCATGCTACAGCTTTCCCGTATTTACGCGCCAAATTTCAAACTCCTTCGGGCAGGATGTACATGATACAGCTCAGAGACGTGCTCAGACTGGGGCCAAGATGCTTTTTAGGGTCCTACGTTTCTTTGGCGTTAGTCAATCCCGTCTAAGGGATGCTCTCCTTATGGGCTTCCATTCAGAATCGTCGTGTATTTGGTCTATATAATGACTTACGATGGCCCTCTTTGAAAGGTTTGGTTGGCCTAAATTGATATTAATCCAGGATTCGATCCCCGGACTATGCGTGTGTGATAGCGCGCCACTTGCCAATACATCACTTCTGTTTTTTGTCATACTGAAAAATGTGGTGATTAAATAAAAATTGAAATTGGAACTCAACTGGGGCATCGTTGTCGTGAGGGAGATCTCATTTGAAGATCATCTGAGGATTAGGACATTCGGGCAGAAATCGCTTGCTCTGGGGTGGTTTGATATCCCGATCTTTAATTATTACAACTACTTACTTTCTGCTAGCTTAAAACGGATAAAACAACCTAGACAATATTACTGTAATCGCTCTCATGCTCGAACTTCAACGAGTAACATTCTTTAGCTCATGACGTACGATTATCGATCGGATGACATAACCGGAGTGGCACCATACGAGTGGGTGGAGCAGTCGCTTGTTGCTCTTCTCGACCATTCACCAGATCTTGCCAAGTATTTGATGATTGGTTTGAATCATTACGGTTATGAGTTCGTCGACTACAGTGCGCAACCCATCCACTTTGACAGGTTACCTGATTCGTGTGTTTTGTAGTTATTTCTGTTAGAAACTCCATTTTTTTTNTTTTTTTTCGTTTGTAGATATGTGGAATACGTGAAAAAGCCTGACAGCAAACTACAATGGGACTCTAAGGCAAAGGAACACGTTCTGAAATTTGAGTGAGTAGAATTTTTGCACTTTATTGTTACGAACTCTTAACGAAATATTTTTTTTTATGAAATCGTCTAACTTATCTTGTTTTTACTGTAATATTGTTTCCGAACTCCACAAATTTTTTGAATTAGAAATCAGATTTGATGTGTATTGAATGTAGAATAGCCGCTCATTCTGTTGGGCTATTGATTAGTTACGCGCGCACACACACGAGCTCGCAGCTCAATAATCCACCAATCAGGTGCGGGCATGGCGCACTCTTTGGCGATTACATGCAATATTCCCCTCCTTCGTCTTGTTTCAACTCGTTAAATCATGTTTTGCCTTGCTTCGCCACTTTGAACAAATGGGTGCAACTCTTTTTTCAAAGATTCCGAATTATAATGAGGGTTTAGTTCCTTAAAGGAACTGTTCGCGATGATCCAATGGGCGGGTGTGTCGATGACGTGTCCGCCTCTCATTCGANTCGAATGAGAGGCGGACACGTCATCGACACACCCGCCCATTGAATCATCGCGAACAGTGCCTTTTAATTTACCTGGATATATCAGACACCGAAAAAGCGGAACGCGAAAACCGGAACGGCTACTCTTCTTCATTTTAGAGTCGAGTGAGATGATATATGCACATAATTTTTCTTCGTATTTCTTCAAAAAGTCCAGCGCGCAAGAGTTTCGATGGAAGTTTCAGTTTAGACTTAATTTTATTCTCAGCGTCTCACCATTATTGACTTCCGTCTATTTTTATGTAAATGCTTAAATGCGCGCAATAATTTTTTTATTCAGGTAAGCATCGGTGATGATATGTTCTGTTTATGGTCGCCCAAAATTATTGATTTTTTTCAGCAACACGCAGATCTACTATCCGTCATTGACATCCTTGGAAATGCGCCTGAATCTGGCTCGTAAATTCGGAGTTGGCGCCGCCATCTGGGATTTCGGTCAGGGCTTGAATTATTTTACTCAGGTTCTTTGAATGCTTTGTTAGTCAATGCTGCCTCCACGTGATTATGCGTTATAATTATGAAATTTTACTAATTTTGTTTGTACCCATTCAATCGGATGTCACCAAGGGTGTATGATACTGTATGGTTTCAATTTCGGGTCATGTTTAATTTTTGAGGGATTGTTTTATTGTTATAAATATATGTTGATAAAACATTTATTTATCAATCGATTGAAATATTACAAGGATAGAGTAATGAATGTGCATGGATTACTTGTTTTTAAATTGAAAAAAAAAACCTAAAAGGGTTCTGGAACGACGCCAAGTAAGCGGACTCTTTCCGCCCAACGCAGTTGGTGGGTGAACTTTGCACCTAATCACAGACCAGGATGTCCTCATGAAATCGAAGACCCACGTCGATGATCAGCTTCTACACATAATCCATCATTATTGACAGGCCATATGTCAATTGCTT